CAAATGAACCTTAGAGGAGAAAACTCTCAAAAAAAAAAAAAAAAAAAAAAAGAAAGAAAGAAAGAAAGAAAAAAGAAATCCAAGTATACTGTATTTGCTGACAAAAATCAAAAATAAAAGCCCTCCAGGGCAGAGAAGACAACACAACTATCATGACAATGTGAATATGAAAAGGACACTGCAGCTGCGACTGTATTTATCCCTTTTGCTTTAACTGAAATTTATTTCTCAGTCATTCTGTAATTATTTACCAAACACCTAAAATGTGACAGGCGTGAAGCTATGAGCCAAATCGCAGTTCAATAGTTTTCATAGTATTTCTTGATCTCTGACATTTTTAAGCTAGTTTATCACCAAAGAATGTTTTCTGAATAATTCAGTTCTTCCATGTTTAAGTAAAAAGCCTGTATTTAAAGAAAAAAAAAAAAACTCACAGATAGCCCAAGAAATAGTGGTTTTCAAAGAATCCCACCTTGCTTCGCCAAGATATTAACTCAGGGCTCTGCCCAGAACACTGAACCGGGATTTGCATCTGGAGCCTCCGGACAGGCAGAAAGAATCCAACACAGCCTAAAATGAAGGCGCCCCTGCTCGCCGCTGACCAAGCTACAGCAGCTGAGTAAAGAGTGGCAAGCCGTCCGGGCAGAGGCGGTGGAGGTGCACCGCTGCACCATGCTGGCATGCTGTGGGAAGGCACGGAGTTCGGAGCTCTGGTCAACCTGAATACGCCAGGCGTGGGTGTGTGCCCGTGATGCTAGCTAGAAAGACAGGGGAGGGTCATGGCATGGCGAGACACTGCTGGGTGTCCGTGTGTCTGTCTGTCTGTCTCTCTCTTTTGCTGTCTCTCATAAATAAATACTTCTAAAAGTCAAGTGCTCAGAACGGAGCCCGGATGTCATATAGCATCTTTAAGTATGAACTGCTCTTACTACCCTCATCCTCCTGAACTGCCCTTCCCCATCTCTACAGTTAAACCAGGTAAAGAGAAAATAAAAATGTATTTCTAACACTTCATTTCTTTTTTTTAACACCTAATTTCTTTTTTTCTTTTTGGAGACATTTTCGTTATAGGGCACGTGCGCTCGCCAGACAGACAAAGAGAGACATAGAGACAGAAAGCGAGAAATCACCCCCCAGGGGGGATGGTCACGCCGCAATCCCTTCTCCTCCATTCTCCTCTTGGGATCTTGGGCACGCACGCACACGCACCCGGCCTGAGTTTTAAGCCACCGGGTCCGGGACGCGAACCACGGTCGACTACTTGGGAGTCCAGCAACATAGCCATTACGCTAACTGCTGGTTCCCAACACCTAATTTCTTAAAGGGTATAAATGAAACATTTAAATATTCTATATTTTAAACGCGTTGTCTACCCCAAGTCAGGGTAACTTGTGTTGCAGATGTTGAGGTCTTCATTCCTGCAATCTCAGAATGTGAATGCATTTGGACACAGGGTCTTTAAAGAGGTAATGAATGTTGTGTGTGTGTGTGGGGGGGGATTACGACAAAAACATACACAGACACAGACCATGTGAAGAAACAGGAAGAGGACCTGGTCATGGGAAAGCCAAAAAGAAAGGTCTTCAAAAAACCCCAACCGTGTAGACAACTTGATATGGGACCTCTAGCCTCTAGAACTATGAGAAATAGATTTCTGTTGTTTAAATACCCCATCTCTGGTACTTCCTTATGGTAGCTGTAGAAAACTAATAGAGCCTTAAAAACAATCAGTGTTATTACCTTTTGAGAAACAAAGATTACAAGGTAGGAAGAAATTATTTTTACCTACTACTGGGTTGTCGGGAAAATCGTGATGCATTTTTGCATAGAAAAATAAGTCATGACTTTCCAGACAACTTAACACTATCATACAATTTAACTGAACATCTCTACCTTCAAATATGTACACTAAGTTGAGTACATTAACTAGATGTATTTCTCTGCTGTGCTTTTATTATATATGCACGAGAACCATGTAAATTATTTGAATGACTCAGAATTATCTTATCTAAGAGCTCATATACAGATTTTACCTACACTTCAAAAAAGGTAAAAACCAATTCCTATTTAGCTACTAACTAAATTAGAGAACTATAACCAACGAAATGCCTCCAAAATTAAATTGATACTAAAACCCCAACAATCTAGCATAAAAGACAAATTTAAAAGGACTAGTCTTCGCAAAGATCAATAAGTGAAAGGTTTTATAAAGTACAACTATTTGTTTTAGACGGTTTTCATTTGTTCTGAACTAAGGCGATTTCAAATACTAGTTTATCACCGAAGTTTTCATAGAGTAATAACAGTGACTGATTAATCCATTTTGCCTTCAACACTTCATTCACTCTTCAACAATCATGCAGAAAATATGTCAAAGATATTTACATGAGCCAAAATACAAGCTCAGAGATGTCAACTCAAAAGCCTTTCATAAAACTCTTCTATAATAGATACTAATAACACTACGATATAGCACAATTAATGAAGAATGAACTGAAAGATAGCCTCTTGCAACTTTCAATACTGAGTAATATAACAGTAAATTAGCTTTTATTGCTCTTACACAATAGAGCAATCAAGTATTCCTTTATACACTGAACTGGTTCTTTCTTTTTCTAAGTTACTGTGAAAACTACAATTGGATATTAACAGGAGGCCAATCAGAAAGACAGTATTTTGTAAAAAGTTGCATGGGATGAATTCTTGTGACATAAAACTACATTCCTACCTCTAGCTTTAATCATCGTAGGACGCTGAGTTGCAAACTGATTACTTACTGGTCACTTCACAGCTTTTC